TGAAACACGTTAAGGTCGCAGAATCTCTACGACTCGGTCTCTGACTCTCTGACCAAGACGGACCTGAGGTCTGTTTAGGTTGGAGCGACACAGCAGTTTGATGAGACAGAAAGTGAGCCACAGTGGCAAAGTAAAACATATCCGCTTTGGGGGGAAATATAAACTAAATAAACACTGTACTCACCAAAAAAAGTAGGGTATTTACTATGGTAGGACCTCCAAAGTCAAACAGCTTTAGAGGGGCAGTATTATGAAAAATGTACTTTTATAATCTTTGCAGTGTTATAATGTAATTCCCACATCAAAAGCATACCTATAGTGTTGCTTTGATTCTTTCATTCATGTTTGAGAAATCCTTTAATCTCCCGAGGCAACCATTCAGCTGTGCAAAACACCTGGGGAGAAGCTCCAAGCTTAGGAACTTATAGCTCACTGAGAGGCCCTCCCTGTGACTCCCCCCCCTCAGCTCCTTCAGACTAGCCAGCTCCAATTAGCAAACACCTGGTGGAACTGTACATCAGCTGAGCTCATTATAGGAGTTACTTCTCAGTGCAACGCTGGTAGAAACGTTGTTAAAGGGTCAATAGAGGATTCATGTTGTGACAACTTCCTGAAGGCGGAGTTTTAGAACGAGTAGGAGTTTCTTAAAGAGACAGAGACCCAATTTCAAGGCACTAAATTACAAAGTCAAATTTGTTTTAAGTCATATTTGATATATATATAGAATTTTTATAACAATTGAAGTTAACATAGTTACTCGACTGTGCCATAAAATGCCACTATATCTCCAGAAAATACATCATAATGTCTCTTTAAGCAGTTTACACTGGCAAGGATTTCTGGTACACACTCTCACATGAATACTTGATCTTGCTAGTCTGGCGTTGCATTGACAAACAGTCGAGTTGGAGCCTGTGTGTTGTTTAAAAATCTGGTCAAAAACTAGAAAGTCAGATGAAAGCGCTGTGTTTTTGGCTGTAAAGTCTTCAGGAGCTGAGACAAATTTCATAACATCTGGAAGAAATTGGATCTTTCATACAGATCTTACCAAGCAGCGGAGCCTTCCTCCAGTATCCATCCCGGACCTCGATGTAATCATACCAGCACAGACTGCTTTTATACAGGTCCATAGTGGTGAAGTTGAGAACAATCTGGAGGATCAAATGAAAGATCCTTTAGTTACTGTGGACGTTAGCATCAGTGACAGAGCAGTGAAAGAAGACAGCATCAATCTGTCATCACACTCTAATTTTTACTGTGTTTTGGTGTGTGTGTGTGTGTGTGCATGTGTGTGTGCGTGTGCATGTGGGTGTGCACCTTTTCTCCAGGAGTGACAGATATTCTCCAGACACAGTGAGTGTATGAGGGGTATCCGTTGGGGTAACCAGGTGAGGAGAAGTTACCGGTTGATTCCTGGAGGGTTTCTCCGCAAGCTGCAACACACCCAGAAGGAAGCTGAGCGTCAGCGACTGGGTTGTTCGTGTTCTGAATTCAACATTCCTCTGTAAAACGGTAATCTACTGGATGTGAACATATACTATATGCGTCTTGTAATTTGTCACTCTGTGGACATCTGACAAATGTAAAACAGCTGAGTTGGGCATTCTGGGCAAATGATCTGACCATTGTTGGTTTTCATTCGGAGCATAACGCTGCTGCTGTCTCTCAAAAGGAAGTTAGCCAAACGTGCCCCTCCTGTCCCATCGTGCATGCTGTCTTTTTCCCCCACAATGCCCTGGGGTTCAGTTCATCTGTCAGTGGATATGGTAGCGCCCTAGAATGACCTTATGAGGTTCAAGTTGTATCTGTTTCCAGCTGGGATACATTAATACATTCTCAGTATAATATCGATTTATAGCTTCCACTGAGACACACTGAACTTGCTATTTATGGGCCACATAATATTCAGGAGAAATCAACACAGAAATCACCAATTCATGCACAAAACACAATAAAGATACAGTTTATCATTTAGTACTGCATCATTAGCTGTGTTTCTATTACAAATGTGCGCAAAACTGTCAATATTCCGCTAATGTAAAAAAAAACACTATTTCTCAATATGTAGTGTTTCAATTAAATAAGAAACACAAGTAAAATCACATGTAAATAAGTTTATTCCCAAGACAAGTTGTTAAAAATCATGCTGTGACATCATCCTCCAACTACTTCCTGTTATCGTCTTCTTTGTGGTTTTTGCCAGTGGCAACATGCGGTTGTTGGTCATGTGACTTGTGTGATGTGAAAAAAATGTGTTTCCAATGCAGGTTTGCGAAAAAAAACCTATTTCAATATGGTCAAAAAAAACCCTAACAAAAACACATCATCCTACCACCAAAACTTTTCTTTTTACAAACAGAATTTTTTTTTTCCGAAATTGCAGTGTTTCCATTGAGCAAATTTATTTTCTAAATGTCAAGTTGTGCATTTATATGATAAATGAAAGCACAGCTGTTTTTTATAAAGTGTCTGTGTGTGTGTGTGTGTGTGTGTGTGTGGGTGTGTGTGCGTGCGTGTGTGTGGACTGAGAGCTTCGGTACCATTTACAAACAGCATTTACAGTGTTGCACCCCAACTCAGTGAGCAGCTCCAGATCATGTCAGGAACTCCTCACCAGGGAGCAGAATGACGCCAGATCTGTACGGGTGTGCTCAAGAACTGAATGTATGAATAAGCCTGCGTGCATGCATGTGTGTGTGTGTGTGTGTGTGTGTGTGTGCGTGTGTGTGCGTGTGTGTGTGTGTGTGTGTGTGGGTGTATGTGTTAGAGACGTGTGAAGACGAATTGGAAAGGTCATGTGGAAAAACATATTGCTACATTCCACCTCTGTGCCTCAGAGACAGGAGAATTTTGTGTTAAAGGTGCAACAGATTAATAAGGGCCATTATCTTTAGCTTTCTAGCTGAAAACAATAAACATGTTCATAAACCCAAACACGCAGTAACATCATAAACGCATCAATACCTGGACATCTATACAGCTTCCTTGCCTGTGCGATGTCTCCCTTGCTGAGCCTGGTTCTCTGGCCGATAGCCGGCCGGACTCCGTTCTCATCCCTGGATGGAAGTATTGTGTCGAGGAACATCCCACTGCAGGGAAGAAAGCGAACGTTCGATTTTCCACCACAGAACATAAATGTGTCATCAGGACAGTAAAATACAAGGTGTCCTGGTCAAAATAAATCCTCTAATTTCAGAAACTGGGAACATTTATTGGAATCCATATCAGTGCAGCGGCACTTCGTTCATTAGAGTCTAACTTCAACATAACACTGTTTTTTGCAGGGAATTAAATCATATAGAGCCCAGAATTATTCATACTACTGACCCATTTAGATTTCAAAATGTTATATATATATTTTTTTATTTCTAATAAGAAATTTTAAAAGATTATAAAACAACATAAAGTTTTGGGGAAAAAATATTTTTAAGGATTTAATTTTCATTTTAGGAAAAAAGAGCATTTCTACAAAAAAAAAAAAAAATCTGTCTTAAATCTGCAGCATGTAACTTTTACAAAAAAAAGGCTTTTTACATATTTGTTCAAATTATCATTTTGCTGTGGCAATGGCAGTTTTAAAAAAAATTAAAAAAAAAAAAAAAAAAAAGTTTTTTGTAAAAGTTGCATACTGCTGCAAAAACAAACCATGGAGCTGCCAAGACGCTGGAGCTGTTACCGTGAGAAGGTGTTCCTGGCATAGTGCATGATGCTGTCGAAGTCGTACGCTTCTCCAAGAGAGTTCACCTCTCCTGGCTCCATCTTCAAGAAATTATATTCCTGACCTGCACANAGTGTTTACTGATGATGTGACAGAAGATGTAAACGGCTAAAAGAATTCAGAAGTGGACGCTCGCAGCCACTTCAGACTGCGCTGTATAAAACTTTTTATAGTCTTTCAATGTGAAGAAAAAAAAAAAACAAACGTGAAGAAAAAAAAAACACTTCACAAATCACATTCAACCTTCCATAGAAGAACAACCTGCAAAAACAAACTAGTGAAGAAAATTTCCAATGGAAATTCAATCAACTTGCATTTCTAGTGTCTACCACAGGCAGAAGCCGAGAGAGCTTGATGTTTTCACTGGTTATCTGTCTCATGTAAAACTGTCATGGCATGGTGACGTTTTAATATATATATGTAAAAGAACAATTTCTTAAATAAAAGTTACGTACTGCCACTTTAACCGTTTCTGTGCAGTTTAAATGTGTGTCAAAGGCACATATGTGTAGCACAAAATGAAGAACATTCAACGGATTGCAAATTAAATTTGAAAGCTTTTTACTTTAAGCTAAGTTGGTCAGAGTACATGCGTACAAAGAAAGAAAGTGTCATTATCAAATCATCAAGTTTGACAGGAGTCATATTAAATGTTGTTTTGACTGACTCTGTTTAACCAATTCCTTATAATACGTTGTCACTTTAAGTACTTTAAACATGCAAATATAATCCTGAAAGAAAGTTTTCCCAGAAGTAATTATACAGCTGAAATATTTAAAATGCACCATTTTCTCTGTTGAATGATATTTGTTTGGTTCTTTTAGCAGATGGTCTACATCGTGGGAATAAAAGCCCTTTTCCCTGTTTGATTTGTCTTGCGTGTTTTTTCCTGTTGATGGAAGCTGTTTGGATGTTTCTGAGTCAAACTGGCATAAAACACAAAACACTGTGAACAAGAATGAACATTCTCAGTCCCTCATACACACACACCACCCACACACACGCACGCACATTTTATGTTTTTCTAACTTCAAAGGACTTTGCAGTGACTTCCATTCATTTTTCATTCATCTCCACAGCCTAACTGCCTGACTCTGACTCGTACCCCAAACTGAACCATTATCAGTACATGCTTGACTCTAAACCTAACATAACCTCAATCCACATCATAAAAGTCCTAAACATAACCCCCAAAACTAGCAATGGGTCCTCACAACATAATATTTGTTGGAAAAATGAGCCTTATGATCTTAGAAATGCTGAAACACACACTCATTGTTACCTTCACAGCTCTTCTTGTCAGGAGCCAGTTCGTAGCCAGGGTCACAGGCACACTTGAAGCTGCCAAGAGTGTTTACACACCTCTGCTCGCATCCACCATTGTCTGGCTTGGCACACTCATCTTCCTCTGGAACACACATGAGTCAAAATTCATGTGAAAAGCCTTGGAGAGAAAAGCCACACGGGAAAAAACAACTAACAGGTACAGCGAGAAAAGAAGTTTCACCGTAAATTCATTAAATACAGCAAGACTTGTGTTGGCATTATTGATGAGTACTTTTAAAGGACAATAAATAAATACATTAAAAAAAATTGAAGAGAAAAACACTCACTGACTGCCTTTATTGAGCTCCCTCACCTTTGAAGAAGTTGGCAGCAAAGCCAGCCTTGTTCACCGTCCCGTCAGAGACAAACTTCATCCACAGAGTGTGAGAGGTGGAGCGAACGTCTTCAGGTTTGTCGTAGCCACAGAAACGGCCAATCAGCGGGCTCGTTTCAAGCGGGCCGTCCCGAACCTCCAGGTAGTCATAGGCGCAGCTGTCGTGCCTCTCGATCTACAACAGTCACAGTCACACGCACACACACACACACGTGTTCAGTGAGACTCTTGGAGTGTCACAGTCATCATCAGTGCCCCGTTTAACCGTTGTGCATGCGAGGACTGAGGCAAACGTAGAGGTCTATGGAAAATGATACAGGTTTTATGTGTGTGGGGTCAGTTGGACCCCATTTCGACATACAAGGGTTAATAGCTGATATGGCTCAAACTTCCTACCTTATTTGCTTTATATAGATTAATCATTGCTGTTAAATGTAAAAAATACTTGCAGTTTTTATGATTGGAAGGGAGAAAAACCAAGGAGTGTCTGTAAAAGAACTGCTGAGAGCATTTATGTAAAATGACCAACTCTGAAGTAAAAGGTGCCACATAATTATTCTCCACAGTTAGCCCAATCCTGACAGCAAATAACAATCTGTAGTTTTCTACACCTGTAAGGAGTGAAGTGTAACACATTGCACTTCAGTCCTTATAGATGTAGGAGTGAAGTGCAATGTGTTTCACAGTTTCACACTGTGTCACTCGTTACGCTGCAGCATGTCTCAGAAAGCCAAAGTATCTTTTCTAGCCAAGTTTTCCCACTTTTCTTTTCAAAGTTAAATTCAATTTTCACATTACTGGCTGCATTTCCACTATTCATACAATTGCGCAAATTGAAATGATGAAGATACATTTACTTAATGGAAACATGCTAATTTTGAAAAAGCTCACTTAAACAGCTTCAGTTGTATTGAAATTGATGTATTTCACAAAACTACAATGGCAACACTTTTTTCACATTACAAGTGATCAACAGCCGGATGTTGCTACTGGAGAAAATAATGAAGAAGACGACAGGAAGTGGTAGGAGGATGGTGGTTTTGTTTTTGTTTTTTCCAGACAATGTGCAGCTGGCTTCTCCAGAGCTCTCACAGCATCACAGTTCATAAAAAGTTGTGCCATTCCAACGTGTTGAAGTCAAAACTCTTCTGTAAAATCTCCAATTACAGTTTTCCCAAAACACCGCATACAAGGCGGGGCTTGTTGCTCCAACTCCTGAATAAGACGTCACTGTTTCCTCTCATGGATGATAGATGATGAGCACCAGCATCATGACTGACTTATGATATGTATTGTGTAACTGTGATTTTCAATGACTTATCGTGTGACTTAGCTTATTAACATGTGATTTTGATTTCATTTCTTATTTAATGGAAGCACCAAGATTTGCTCACATTTGTAATGGAAACAGCTACTGACACAATCAGGACTTTACAAGTGGATCTACCCTAAAGCAAACAAGTGTGGGAGGGGCTTGTTTCAAACTAAATATGGCTGCAGGAAAGTCAGGACTACACAGCTAATTCCTATGTGATGTACTGATGAACACTTGTGGACACAAATTTCTCCTTGAGCATTTGTCCATACAATTATTGAAAGTGGTTTAAACAAAGACTAGGTTTTCACATTTTAATGAAGAAAGAACACCGACTTTTGCACATTCACAGCTGTTGTTTGTAAAGCAGAGGAAGTAATTGATGCAACAGAGCAGAGCAGCACACAGCAACAAATATGGAGAGAATAATCTGAACTATGGGATTAAACACCAGATTCACACACAGCATCCGCTGGAACCTTTACTACCTTTCTAGCAACAATACGAGCGTGAAATTTGACCCAGACTTTCCGAGCTCATGCACACAGTGACACACACACACACTTGGAAACATACAAATACACACACACACACACACACAGAGATAGAGAGAGTGGGTCACCTCGAAGGCCTGGAAGCTAAGTCCAACATTGTATCCCTCAGACACAGTGATCCTCCACACACACTCTTTGGAGGGCCTGTAGTCATCAGGGTAGTTGGGAGACTGAATTTGCCCAGAGTCCTTGGTAATTTCCCCTCCACAGATGGCTGAACAGAAAAACAGAGAATCACAGCAGGCAGAGATGGACAGGATGAGTTAGCATCAACCGTTGCTGATTGCAGAGACCTGAAACATTCTCTCTGCACCATGAGTAATGGAGCTAATCTCAAAAATCAGGCATGTTTAATCATCAGACATAAGCCTATGCTGCATACGAATGCATATGCATGTTAACCAGCAATTTGTCCGAGTGATTTATTAATTTATAGGAGCTGCTACCTTCATAAACAGCAGCAAAGCCTTTGCCCACCCAGTTGCTGCTGCTGCGAAACTCGATCCACATCCTGCTGTCGGCTGAGATTAAGACATCAGGGATTTTGTCTCCACAAAACCTGCCTGAGAATCACAAACAGAAAATGAAAATCAACAAAATCACTTTAAGAACTGATTATAAGAAGTATTTCCCTTATAAGCCCAATTTAACTTAAATTATCTTCACTCTGCCAGGCCAATAACTAAAAAAAATCAAAATATTTTCTCCTGGACATGTCCCTTCATCCAGCAGTGTGTTATCAGTTCTACCTTCTTTTCTGCTCTGTATCTACCTCAATAACTTCCTTTTTGCCAATCCCTATGACATTTCTCAACTTTCAATTTTCTTTATCAAAATTATTTAATTTTATTTCTTTCAGCGTCCTTCATGAAATAAAAATGTGGAAAATCTTGACAATGATATATTTTCATAAATGTCTGCTGATTTATATTGATATATGCTGTGACGTGCAGCCACTTCAGATGTTCCATGAACTGCCTATGAGGAAGTAATCATTATTAGACAGTCCTTATGCTCAAAACACATCGGATCTATTTTGGCCTCCAATCCAGCGGAAAACCAAGTCAAATGAAACACGTTAAGGTCGCAGAATCTCTACGACTCGGTCTCTGACTCTCTGACCAAGACGGACCTGAGGTCTGTTTAGGTTGGAGCGACACAGCAGTTTGATGAGACAGAAAGTGAGCCACAGTGGCAAAGTAAAACATATCCGCTTTGGGGGGAAATATAAACTAAATAAACACTGTACTCACCAAAAAAAGTAGGGTATTTACTATGGTAGGACCTCCAAAGTCAAACAGCTTTAGAGGGGCAGTATTATGAAAAATGTACTTTTATAATCTTTGCAGTGTTATAATGTAATTCCCACATCAAAAGCATACCTATAGTGTTGCTTTGATTCTTTCATTCATGTTTGAGAAATCCTTTAATCTCCCGAGGCAACCATTCAGCTGTGCAAAACACCTGGGGAGAAGCTCCAAGCTTAGGAACTTATAGCTCACTGAGAGGCCCTCCCTGTGACTCCCCCCCCTCAGCTCCTTCAGACTAGCCAGCTCCAATTAGCAAACACCTGGTGGAACTGTACATCAGCTGAGCTCATTATAGGAGTTACTTCTCAGTGCAACGCTGGTAGAAACGTTGTTAAAGGGTCAATAGAGGATTCATGTTGTGACAACTTCCTGAAGGCGGAGTTTTAGAACGAGTAGGAGTTTCTTAAAGAGACAGAGACCCAATTTCAAGGCACTAAATTACAAAGTCAAATTTGTTTTAAGTCATATTTGATATATATATAGAATTTTTATAACAATTGAAGTTAACATAGTTACTCGACTGTGCCATAAAATGCCACTATATCTCCAGAAAATACATCATAATGTCTCTTTAAGCAGTTTACACTGGCAAGGATTTCTGGTACACACTCTCACATGAATACTTGATCTTGCTAGTCTGGCGTTGCATTGACAAACAGTCGAGTTGGAGCCTGTGTGTTGTTTAAAAATCTGGTCAAAAACTAGAAAGTCAGATGAAAGCGCTGTGTTTTTGGCTGTAAAGTCTTCAGGAGCTGAGACAAATTTCATAACATCTGGAAGAAATTGGATCTTTCATACAGATCTTACCAAGCAGCGGAGCCTTCCTCCAGTATCCATCCCGGACCTCGATGTAATCATACCAGCACAGACTGCTTTTATACAGGTCCATAGTGGTGAAGTTGAGAACAATCTGGAGGATCAAATGAAAGATCCTTTAGTTACTGTGGACGTTAGCATCAGTGACAGAGCAGTGAAAGAAGACAGCATCAATCTGTCATCACACTCTAATTTTTACTGTGTTTTGGTGTGTGTGTGTGTGTGTGCATGTGTGTGTGCGTGTGCATGTGGGTGTGCACCTTTTCTCCAGGAGTGACAGATATTCTCCAGACACAGTGAGTGTATGAGGGGTATCCGTTGGGGTAACCAGGTGAGGAGAAGTTACCGGTTGATTCCTGGAGGGTTTCTCCGCAAGCTGCAACACACCCAGAAGGAAGCTGAGCGTCAGCGACTGGGTTGTTCGTGTTCTGAATTCAACATTCCTCTGTAAAACGGTAATCTACTGGATGTGAACATATACTATATGCGTCTTGTAATTTGTCACTCTGTGGACATCTGACAAATGTAAAACAGCTGAGTTGGGCATTCTGGGCAAATGATCTGACCATTGTTGGTTTTCATTCGGAGCATAACGCTGCTGCTGTCTCTCAAAAGGAAGTTAGCCAAACGTGCCCCTCCTGTCCCATCGTGCATGCTGTCTTTTTCCCCCACAATGCCCTGGGGTTCAGTTCATCTGTCAGTGGATATGGTAGCGCCCTAGAATGACCTTATGAGGTTCAAGTTGTATCTGTTTCCAGCTGGGATACATTAATACATTCTCAGTATAATATCGATTTATAGCTTCCACTGAGACACACTGAACTTGCTATTTATGGGCCACATAATATTCAGGAGAAATCAACACAGAAATCACCAATTCATGCACAAAACACAATAAAGATACAGTTTATCATTTAGTACTGCATCATTAGCTGTGTTTCTATTACAAATGTGCGCAAAACTGTCAATATTCCGCTAATGTAAAAAAAAACACTATTTCTCAATATGTAGTGTTTCAATTAAATAAGAAACACAAGTAAAATCACATGTAAATAAGTTTATTCCCAAGACAAGTTGTTAAAAATCATGCTGTGACATCATCCTCCAACTACTTCCTGTTATCGTCTTCTTTGTGGTTTTTGCCAGTGGCAACATGCGGTTGTTGGTCATGTGACTTGTGTGATGTGAAAAAAATGTGTTTCCAATGCAGGTTTGCGAAAAAAAACCTATTTCAATATGGTCAAAAAAAACCCTAACAAAAACACATCATCCTACCACCAAAACTTTTCTTTTTACAAACAGAATTTTTTTTTTCCGAAATTGCAGTGTTTCCATTGAGCAAATTTATTTTCTAAATGTCAAGTTGTGCATTTATATGATAAATGAAAGCACAGCTGTTTTTTATAAAGTGTCTGTGTGTGTGTGTGTGTGTGTGTGTGTGGGTGTGTGTGCGTGCGTGTGTGTGGACTGAGAGCTTCGGTACCATTTACAAACAGCATTTACAGTGTTGCACCCCAACTCAGTGAGCAGCTCCAGATCATGTCAGGAACTCCTCACCAGGGAGCAGAATGACGCCAGATCTGTACGGGTGTGCTCAAGAACTGAATGTATGAATAAGCCTGCGTGCATGCATGTGTGTGTGTGTGTGTGTGTGTGTGTGTGCGTGTGTGTGCGTGTGTGTGTGTGTGTGTGTGTGGGTGTATGTGTTAGAGACGTGTGAAGACGAATTGGAAAGGTCATGTGGAAAAACATATTGCTACATTCCACCTCTGTGCCTCAGAGACAGGAGAATTTTGTGTTAAAGGTGCAACAGATTAATAAGGGCCATTATCTTTAGCTTTCTAGCTGAAAACAATAAACATGTTCATAAACCCAAACACGCAGTAACATCATAAACGCATCAATACCTGGACATCTATACAGCTTCCTTGCCTGTGCGATGTCTCCCTTGCTGAGCCTGGTTCTCTGGCCGATAGCCGGCCGGACTCCGTTCTCATCCCTGGATGGAAGTATTGTGTCGAGGAACATCCCACTGCAGGGAAGAAAGCGAACGTTCGATTTTCCACCACAGAACATAAATGTGTCATCAGGACAGTAAAATACAAGGTGTCCTGGTCAAAATAAATCCTCTAATTTCAGAAACTGGGAACATTTATTGGAATCCATATCAGTGCAGCGGCACTTCGTTCATTAGAGTCTAACTTCAACATAACACTGTTTTTTGCAGGGAATTAAATCATATAGAGCCCAGAATTATTCATACTACTGACCCATTTAGATTTCAAAATGTTATATATATATTTTTTTATTTCTAATAAGAAATTTTAAAAGATTATAAAACAACATAAAGTTTTGGGGAAAAAATATTTTTAAGGATTTAATTTTCATTTTAGGAAAAAAGAGCATTTCTACAAAAAAAAAAAAAAATCTGTCTTAAATCTGCAGCATGTAACTTTTACAAAAAAAAGGCTTTTTACATATTTGTTCAAATTATCATTTTGCTGTGGCAATGGCAGTTTTAAAAAAAATTAAAAAAAAAAAAAAAAAAAAGTTTTTTGTAAAAGTTGCATACTGCTGCAAAAACAAACCATGGAGCTGCCAAGACGCTGGAGCTGTTACCGTGAGAAGGTGTTCCTGGCATAGTGCATGATGCTGTCGAAGTCGTACGCTTCTCCAAGAGAGTTCACCTCTCCTGGCTCCATCTTCAAGAAATTATATTCCTGACCTGCACATATATGGACACATTTTCACCAAACAGAGCTAACACTCGATTGTCAAATCTTAGAAATATTATTTCTAAGTTAATTACATTATCATTTAAAACATTTTTATCACAGCTAACCTCCAATAATGATCCAGTTTAAGTGAAATGTTTTAATGTGGTTTTTCTGATATGATGCAAAAATTGGTTTAAGACAACCTCTGAATCACAGTTTTTAAGGTCGGGACAAGTTGACATACAAATGCTTCTAAACACACGGGATGAACCAGTCCCTGCCAGCATGCCCAGGTGGGCCCCATTGGGACCCATATGTCAGCCCTCCTTCCCCCCATATGGGGCCCACCTGGGCATGCTGGCAGGGAGTGATGTGTCTGCACATTACACGGCATTTAAACTGGCAGATAATTTGCCAAGTCATATGTAAGAGTGAAATATGAGTTTTCCTGTCCTAATTTTAAACGTCGATGCAGAGGCAGATCTAAAATAGCTCTTTGCATCATTTTGTATGTATTTAACAAAGATTTCTGATATATTTGTGATATTTATTACAACCCTAATTAAGTTGCAACCAGGGCAAACAGGCTTTTATTCACCAGATCATTTGTGTTACGCAAGTTACGATGGAAAAATACCATCTGCTAAAAGCTGACAAAAATGGAAAAACAGAAGAGGCAAGGCAAAAAGAGGTCAAGGATGTTAAAGTACACTGAAAAATTTACTCATTTGTTACAGCTAGTTTTATTAGTTTTGCTCAAGCTGTAATTGATTCAATTCATTCTGAAATCTTGGGCAAAACTACTCTAAAACTAGAGCAGTTTATGTTTGTTTTTTTCAGGTACAACTCCATGTTGCTTTCGTTGAGGTACACGTGACATCTGCAAATAATTATTCTGTTAAAATAAATTGTCTACTTTGCATTTAAAATTGTGCCGTTGCTCTAAGAAAAAAAGAATTAAATAATTTGATTGTCAACAAATGCTTGTCTGTCAGAGGCTGATAAACCAGAGTGCACCAATTGCAGTTTTCTGGACTGACCAGCCGATTCTGATTTTGGCCGATTCTGACTTTGTTGTGTCTTAAATGTTGCTAAATATGGTAAGAAAGTCTGTGAGTTGGCAACAGTGGGGTGACTATTGTTAACTGCAAACGTGCAGACATGACCAGTCGGTCAAACCTCTCTCACAGCAAAGCAAAAGAGGACAATTGGCTTAAGAATACAAAAGCCAATTGATTTTTAGACCTTTGAGAGATAAATAAGGTCGGTGGATAAAAATCGGCTTCACATTTAAGCGTCAGGTGATCACCAATCTTCCAAAATTAGGGAAATTGGGGCCAATTTATAAGCCAGTCGATTTATTGGTGCATTCCTAATGATAAAACAAAAAATAAACTAAACTCTGCAGAGAAGCTGCATCAGTATTATGTGTAGGTGAGGAACTCAGAGCATGTGAAGGGTGGAGGGTGGTGGGATTGAAGGTGGTGATGCTTCTAAATAAATCTGCTGCCCAGTAATTTGAAGCTGTCTGGCTGTGTGACAGAGCAGAGGTGTGTTTGTGGAAATGTGACAGACGGTCGTCTCGGGGCCTTCACAGTCATTAGGAGATCCATTCACACCTCCTGCTGGAACCCAGGCGTGAGCGCGAACCCGAGGCAAGCCGTGCTTGCCTCCTGTGACCGCTGGGGTTGCCTATAAATAGGCGGCACCCTGAGTGGCCCTGAGACGTTAGTGTCTCCGCGGTAATGAGTCTCACCCGGCTGGATGTTATCCCGGATTATGGTCACATGATCGTCACGGTCGGGGCGAGTGTGTTCGTGCCAGAAACCGATGACATGGCCCAGCTCGTGAACCACAATGCCAAACTTGTCGCAGTTCTTCCCTATGGAGATGGCCTGGGGTCCGTTGCCACGGCGACCCACGTAGGAACAACACCTGTGATGGATTGGTATGAATTTCACAGCAGGGAGGCAATTAAACACAGGTTTAGTAGTGAGGAGTTTGGGGGGATAAAATGCACTTAGTCAACAGCGAACTCATAAACACAGTGGAAAGCTCATATTTAATCATATTAATACCATAAAACTGCAGTTTTCTAAGCTTACATGAATAATCACTTGTAAGACTGAACAGAGAACCTGATTCATTTTTTTTCCTGACTATTACAGTCATCGGTGCCAGGCCAACAAATCTGATTAAAGTTATCCAGTGAGCTGATTGCATGGTGAGGATCAGGAGCCAGGTTACAACACAAGCACGAATAGATAATGTAGAAAAACAGATACACAATATTTACCAGTGGAGCTAAATAGATTAAAATTTAAACCATAAGAATTAGGATGAGGCTTTGGTAGTTCTCTCACAAACATTAATACTCCATATGGCACACAAATATGGATGTCCTGCTTTCCAGCTGTCCGCTCACCATTTTTCTTTTCTTTTTTGATACAATCAACCCTAATATCCTCAGTCACTGTAAAGAATCACGACTCACAACATCCAGTGAGTGAAGTGTCACTGCTGTCCAAACACACTCTGACCCCACCGTGCTGCCACTCGACAGAACAATGCACTTCTGCCGAGTCGGAACAAAAGGACTGCCCGAACATACAAACACTTAAAACCGAGTCCCGTGATTGGTGGGATGGGGAAACAGGAGCAGGACAGGAAGGAAAGCAAAGCCATTGTTGAGTGACCATATCGTCTCTCACTGTGACAAGGTCACTAGTGAACCCTAGGTACACACACACACACACACACACACACACACACACATAGAGCCACGCACACAATCCAAGATATACAAAGACGTCTTCCAGTCTTACCCGCAGGGTCTGTAGGTGAAGACGATGTAGCTTTCCTCATCCGTCTTTTCAATGAAAGTTACACAAGTCTGTTTCTCCCAGTGACGCATGGCCTGCTTGAACATGGCCCTCTGACTACCTAAAACACACACATTTTACATCCTACCTTTACACAATTAAGTGTGCATTAACGCAGCTGCGTGGCGAGGGTTGAGCAGCTGAGCGGAGTTGTTACCAGTGAAGTTTCCTCCGATGACGTAGGGGATGACTCCCCCGGGCCAGATCCGTTCAGCTCGGGATGTGGCCGCTCGAGGAACACGGCTCTTCGCCGCCTCGCTAGGACTCCCACCTTTCCAGGTTTGGCTTTTTGAACTGGCAGCTCCCTTGCTTTCATTCTTCGGGATGTAGTCTAATTTAGAGTGAAGTGAGAAAAGCCATTATATTATTTTTACATATTATTAAATATTAGAGTTCTAGAGTTTTTCCACCAGGACATTTTGTAGCACAATCAAGTAACTATGTCACTTCTAGTTATAAAAATGCTTCATATATATGACTTAAAAGAAAACTGACTTTGTAATTTAAGGCCTTGAAGTTGGGCATCTGTCTCTTTAAGAAACTCTTGCTCTTTCTGAAACTCCGCCTCCAGGAAGTCATCACAACATGGCTCCTCTATTAACCCTTTGACAATGTTTTTACCAGCATTTCATAGAAAAGTAGCTCCTACAATGAGCTCAGGAGATGGACAGTTTTACCAGGTGTTTGCTAATTTGTGCTGGCTAGTTTGAAGGAGCTGAAAGGACAGGCATTACTTATGATGTTAGATCAGATGTTGCTGCCCATCCAAATCTGGTTTATCATTTTTCAATGAAAAACATGTCAGACAGCTTCCAGTATCATGGATACTAACTTATTAAAGGCACAAAAGAGAACTAAATGTATGCCTCTCTAAAATAAGAGTCAATGTCAGGGTGAATTTCATGTTGCATACCAAAGCCAAATCTGCGTATTCTCTCCAGCAGAAGGTATAACGATCCTCTCTTCACATCTTCATGTTCCCCAAGGCCTCCTGATTAAGAAGACAAGCAAAAACACATAACATAAACTTATATTTGTCTACTTTTATGCTTCTATGCAGCAGCTTCTGAACAAATCTGAAAATGCGTGAAAAGAGTGTGAGTCAGCGTTGAAAGAAGGCACTCACCTGAAGTGTGTCCCTGTCGGGAGTGTGAACGCATATGTGTGTGTTGTTTGAGGTCTATCGTTCTGTCGATGTGGAACATCTGCAGGTCCTCCTCATCCAAGGCGATGTCACCCCAAAATACAGCTGAAAGCAAGTAGAAGAAAATGCTGAACACACGCGTCAACATCAAAAACAGAGCTGGTGGTGTGACCGTAAAACCTGTCATATTTCATATCGGTCGATATTGATAATTATTGATTAGTTTTTTGTCTTAAATATACAAAATACTGCAAAACTTGTGATGTGACCATTTCTGTTTTAAGTTGTTTTTATTTTCTCCTCTCCCTCCACGCCATTGTTTGTTTTTTTGTTTTTTATCAGTTATAAAAAAAACTGTGAAACCTGAAACTGCTGCTACGTGATTACTCAATATGTTGTTGCTAAGTAACCAAAGAGTGAGTGAGTTAATGGATGCCACTGAACTCGCTTAGAGTTTGAGTATCTAAAGCCTTTCCTCTGCCTACATGTCCCAGAATGCTGTGCGGTTCAGGACTTCAGTGAATTTATTAAAAATTATATATATATATGATGTTATTGATTTATTATCCTGCCCTAATAAAAAACTAAGACGTCAAACTTTAGCAAAGATGAAAGCCAAAGACTAAAAGTGAGTGTTTAAAAGTGCTTTGAATTCTCATATTTATTCCAATAGCCTCAGTACAATTGCAATAAATGTTTTTAATGAGTCACTTGTTTTTGAACAAGCTCATTTGAAAAGAGACTGTTTCAGAAATATGAAATAACTTCAACTATTAGTATTTGTTTCCTACTTATTACTAAGATGCTTCATCAGGTCATTTTCTCTGACCACTTGTCCTTGCCGGGCCGCAGAGAGTCAGTGCTGATTCCTGCAGGTCAACAAAGAGCCACAGCCATCTTTTGTTTTATCAAGTGCCTGTTGCAAATGAACTATAGTTATTTAGTTGAAAGTCAACAATGTCACTGAAAAGAAGTTGACTCACTTAAAACCTGCTTGTAATAATAGCCAACACGTGAATTTCTGAGAATGGATTAAGATCTGCCTGGCCTTAAGATTCTTAAGGTTGTTCAGGCTTGGATTTATTCAATCTGACCTAGACTAACCTACTAACACTTATTGTGACAAGGTCTAAATTCCTTTGATTAGGTTAATACAATGTGCCTCAGTTCACAGAGATCTAGGATACAGAAACTGTCCCACATAAGAGAAACCAGTCCACACAACTCCTGGAGTAGACGCTTTTTTAAAGGAATTAGCCTGTAATGTGATCCGATCTGTGTTGGCCAAACTGCTGCCTTCCAAAAAATATACATAAACATGACCGCCTGATGGAAAACAAGCTAATACTCATGTTCACAGATGACATGCAGAGGTGGGTACAGACATTAAAAAAATATACCCATGTACGAGCAGACCTGCCTGACTAACTTTATTCAAGTAAAAGTAGAAAAAAGTCCTCACCCAGGTTAAAATCTCCAAAAACTGCCTCCAGAAATGACAGCAGTTGACCATTTCATTACTTCAAGCACATTTAACCCAATCTTTATTTATTCATTTATTTCAAATATGATAGTAGTATAAAATCATGAACAAGAACAAGGAATGCAAAAAAACATATTTTTGTATCACAATAATCTTAACATGCTCATAAAGGAGTAGGAAGAGTAGGAAGTAGGAAGCCAGTCGCAGGCATACTTTACACATTCGGAATATTCAGCTCTTAATAAAATGACTTTCTGATTTGTTTTTTTGTTAGATTTTGTATTTATATTTTTGCTACAGTAAATCCTCTCATTTTGAATTGTACCAGAGGTCCTGTGTGGTGAATGTCCGAAGTGAAGTGAATAAATATGCTGCCACTATCTGATTTCAGTTCTAATTTCTAATCATAATAAATTCTATAAAACCCTACAAACTAATTGACTTCAAAATGAGACACTCCATTTTTTGGCCACTGCCTGTGACTGTAATGATGTCTTGAAGTCCAGCAACTTGCTGACTTTCAGAAACCTTGTCATGCAGCAGCATGGGGTCTCACTTTAAACTTTCTTATGCACATTGAGAAACTTGTGTTTCACATCAGCTGGAGCTTAGACCAGCTTAGCCAGTTGCACTGCTTACTTACTGCTTACTTACACACCACACAAAAATGCACACACTGAGCCACCAGGCCGGTGGTCTTACAGTGGTCTGACATCAGGTCATGTGTAGGATTTTTTTTGGAGAGCTGCTCTCATTAATGACCCATGAAAACTTCCATCCTGCCTTCCTAATTCTCTCTACCCGTTCCCCGTCTCCTCAATCGGCTTCTGACATAACTTTGAATGTGAGCCACGCAGGCTTACGTTCAAAGTTATAATTCACAGAATTAATTTCTCGCACAGGATGTGAACAGATTTCCTTAGAGCAGGATGTAGCTGAAGGAATCTTGGACTAATCAACAGTTCGTAACAATGGGTAAAGTGCAGGTTAATGTTATGCTCAATGGCCTTATCTTAGCAGGTGTGAAAAATATATTTCCATTTTATTACAATTGCATAATCTCATGCTTAAAAATAGAATTCAGGGGAACATTTCACTTGAATTTGTACTCAATTGAGAAAAGTCCTTTGTTAAAAAAAATAATCTTAGAAAAATCACAAGTGACACAGAGGCAAGGTTAAATCAGCCACCGGTCAAAAGACTGAACTAGGACCCTGTTCAGCTTGCCGCCACACACACCAAGGAGGATGATAAACTGAGGTGGAAAAAAACATCACTGTTTGAGAACTTCAGCAAAAAGTGATGTTTTAGGGTCATAACAGCCATTAAACTGTCATGACCCTACATGCTATTTGTCAGGAAAAAGCCTTCTCAGTCCAGATATATGCTGAGTTTTTGTGAGGGTTTTTACTAGGAGTTGTGTGCCAATGTCAGAGGAGACTTTGAGTTTTTCAGTAACAAACACTCCAGGCAGGTCTGGTGCGTAGCGAAGGATAAATATCTACAGAAGCATCTCATTCCCATTGTTAAGCATGGAGGAGGAGCTGTGGCTCTGTTTTTGTTTTGGGAGGGGGGGGGGCGGTAATTAATTATAATGGGTAATTACTGGATAATGAGCTAAAACATGTGGAGGGAACAACACAGAAATGGCTCAAAGGACACAAAATAAATCTTCTACCATGGTTATCTCAGTCCCCAGGCTTAAAGAACAACAGAGACCATCAGCAAGATAAAAGAGATGAAAACGAGAGGATCTCTCTTTCTCTACTTCTCTCTCTCTCTCTCTCTCCCTCTCTCTGTCTCTCTCTGTATGCTCCTTCTTAAAGAGACAGAGGCCCAATATAAGGCATTAAATTACAAAGTCAAATTTCTTTGGAGTCATGTTTGATACAGACAGCATTGTTGCTATAAAAAGCCCTAGAAAATACACAGTACTGTTCCTGTGCCTTTCCTCTGATGAAGGGAAGTCACATCCCACTGATGTCATGGAGGTTGATGGTTTATAATGAATGAGAACTCCAGCAACCAAGAACAAATGTTGCATGTGAAGCTTCAGAACTGCACATGTTTGACGGTTTCACCTTCCATTCACCACCATCAATAACCCACATTCTAAATCAAAAGACCTAAAATCACTTACTATGGAATAAATATGTCACGTTAGACATTTTTATGGCAGATTTGAGATACAGCCATGCACCAAAAGGCTCACAAAGAGACATAAGTAATAGTTTAACTGCTCTGTGTTTTCACAGCTGTAACTTTCAGTCAGACAGTTCTATTCTCCCTTTATAGTCGTAAATAAACAGTTTTTTTTTAAACCCATCGAAAACACAGCAGCTTTTACTGTTATAGTACTGCATATATTGAACATGGTCATGGAGATACTGGTTCATGCATGAACTTATTAACTGGTTGAAAAGCCATAGAACATGTTACCAGCATCTCCATAACTTTTAGGATTTTGTATTAATTTGACATTTTTTGACACACTTCAGGAGAAGTTCATTGGGTGCTTGTGTCTGCACCTGCAGTACAAGTGGAAATAAATGCAGCTCATTTAGTCAAATAAACAACTCTTACCGAAGGATTCAAACGCTTTATGAAGACATAATTAATCCAAAATGAACCGACTTTATGCTGGAAGCTCTTCCACCTGTCCTGGCTTGGAAACAGCAGCCAGTGGAAGTTGCTCCAGGAAACAATCACAGCAGATCCATAAACCTTCTTCTACTGGCTCTGTTCAACTCTAAGAAGGATTTTTGACTTGTTGATCATGTTGGAGTCAAATGACTTGATTTAGCACCTTGTAAGATCTGAGATTTGACAAATAGATTAAAGGTTTATTGAACTATTATTTCATATAAAAGATAATAACAATATATATATGTGTTGAAAATGACTTGCTGAACTTCAAACTAAGTGATTTTGACTGTGGTGCGGCTGTTGGTGATGGGCTGCTCACAAACTGCTGATCTCCTGGCCTTGATTTTACAAAGAAAGGCCCAAAGAAGAAACAGATCGAGTGAGTGGAAGTTGTGTGGAAGAAGGACGTCAGAGGATAAAGGAGAACGGGCAGACTGGTACGAGATTGTAAACAGGCGACAGCAGCTCAAGCAACAACTCACTAAAACAAAAGAATGCAGAATACCATCATATGACACATCAAACCTTGAAGCAGATGGCCAACAGCAGCAGAAGACCACATCAAGTGGAACTCCTGTCAGCTAAGACCCGAAAAATGAGGCTACAATTCACACCAGCTCACCAAAATTGGACAATAAAGAGACTGGTTGGAAAATTTCTTGCCACAAAAGGTTGTGAGTTCAGCTGTTTGCCTGATAACTATTACACTGGGGGTCTGGATGACCCCCTGTCCTGCAACTTTAAACATGCCTCTGCTTCAACTCACCTGAGTCAAATAACGAGCAGAACTCTGGAGAACTTCATGCACTGAGCAGCAGAGTTCAAGTCAACCGAAGTGAGATATGGTTTTTAGAGTTTGCTTTTTTGGACTGCATCAGAGTTCAACGTTGCACCATCCAAAACAAACTGAACTTTGTAAGCAAATGAATTGGAGTTTGATTGAAGTGGATTAAACAGGGCTGGTGTGAATGGACCC